TGAAGCAACGTCCTCCACAACTAGACTGAAGAACAAAAGGACAGCAACTTGTCTGTTCCCCTTCCCCCAATTCCCCAATAAAAATTAAAAAAAAAAAGAAAAATGAAAATTTCCCCATAACTAAAAGAGTTTAAGTATCTAGATTAAAAGGTCCCATTATCTAGCACTATGTATCAAACATACCAAATCCATCATCAAAAAAATTTAACATCAGTCATAAAGAGAATACCCTGAAATCTTGTGGTGGAAAACAATAATCATGAATGACCAAAATCAGGATGGCATCAGCAATACTCTAAACCTGCACTGTCCAAAATGGTAGCCACCAGCCACAGGGGGCTATTGAGTACTTAAAATGTAGCTAGATCAAATTGAGGCACTCTGTGAATACAAAATAAACCCAATTTCAAAGACTTGGTTTAAAAAAGAAATACACACACACGTGTGTGTGTGTGTGTGTGTGTGTGTGTGTGTGTGTAACATAACTCAATAATTATTTTATATTGATTGCATGTTGAAATAAAAATATTTTAGATATATCGAATTAAATAAAATATATTATTAAGCTTAATTTCATCTGTTTCTTTTTACTCTTTTTAATGTGGCTACTAGAAAATTTAAAATTACAGGTGAGCTGCCATTTGTGGCTCACATGATACTTCTATTCAGTAATGCTGATCTAACCTAGAACATAATGCAGCAATGTATTCAAAATTTGGAGGAAAAGTGATGTCTCTCCTGGAAATCCACACAAAAAAACTATCAATCAAGTAACAAGACAAAATACATTTTCAGACAAGATCTCAAAGTAACTTTCCACGTCTTTGTACTCTTTCTCAAGATGAGTACAAAGACAGATAGACTTCATGGAAGATAGACTTCACCAAAACAGGGAACTAAACAAAAAAATAGGAAGTCACTGGACCCAAATGAGACAAAGGAAATTCCCAAATAATGATAAAGGCGAGTTACAGGAGGGCTGTGCAGCAGGTCTTAGAGAACCACCAGACCAGACTGGAGCAAAAGGACAGAGGCTCCAGGGGAATAGCTCCAAGAGGAAAGCAAAGCCAATGGAGTATCTCATGAGGCTAAACGCATGCAAAGGAGATAATGCTATAGCAGAGTCTGTGATCTAATTAATGAGACAGATAAAAAAACTAAACAAATGGTAAAGTCAGATAGTTATTAACTTCAGAAAAACAAAAGTTGTCAAGAAAGGAAATGTAATCATTGCACACCAGGCGGCTCAGTTATGAATATTTACATGATCATAATAATATAAACACATAACAACGATTTAACCGAAAAGGTTCAAATAACAGGAGGGTTAAGAGAAAGGAAGGGACATGTGGGTGCTGTGGGAGTGAGGAAGACTGGTATCAGCTGTAAAAGCTAAGTCATCTTCTATGGTAGAAAATTTTAAAATAATACCAAAATTAAATATTTATTTATTTGTTTATGTTTGTTCATGTTTATATATTGAGATGCTATAAAATAAAGCATGATATCTAGAAACAGAAAAAAATACCAGAATAAACAGCCAAAGTTATTGAAAGCAGTTCTCTTGAGAATGGGAAATCAGGAATAAGAATGGAGCAGAGAACTGCACTTCCTCATTAAAAGCCTTAGAGTATCATTTGCCTATTTTAAGAGGTACATACTCTACTATGATTAAAATAAAATTTAAAAGAAAGAAACCAGAAACCATCCATCTAGAAGCAAAAAGAATGCCTATGAGGGCACACCAATTATGATTTCTTGTTTTATACTTATAATTGGCCTCAAGTAAATACCTTTATTTAATGAAAAAAGGTGGGGGAGGGAACTGCTTTCTACTGTACACACGTTTCGTTCTTCACAGGCTTTCTATCAAGGGTGCCTCTTCCAAAACCAGCTGTCAATTAGCCAAAGTACCCTCCCACTAGGTTTTGTACTCCTCTGTGAAGACCAACTTATACCACAGATCAAACTCAGATCATTTCAGTGATGGTTTTCAAAGACTACATCAAATAATACTGATTGTATGTTTCATTTCAAATTAACCGTTTAAACCTACAGGTCATAATGCTGATTCCACTTTGGATCGAGTGTATTCTTCACAGTATCTGTAGAATGGCATTGCCCAGATCCATCCACCACCACCTTGGCAAATGGGTCAGGAAGTCCTGTGAGAAAAGAGGAAGATTTTTGTAATTAAAAAATATTTTGACATGGAAGATAGAAGAATAATTATATAAAGATTGCTGTTTGCTACAAAACAAAAGATTATTTCATTCTTTATAAAAGTTTAACATTTAGCTATAAAAGAAAAGTGGTTCATTTAAAGTTAATTTTACATTCAATACCAAAAACTACATTTTTTTCTTGCTCCTGTCTCAAAACATTCTCAGCTTTAACTACCAAAGTCTAGAGGTTACCCCAAATGTGGATGGAAGTTTTAATAGATCTTTACCAGCCCTTTGACCTTAGGAAGGAGAATGCTTAAAACATCCCCGGCTCTCTTAGAAGTTGCCCACAGTCTCCCTTAGTAGCTCATTTAAAGACAGCTTACTAAAGGTTTTCACACAGGAACATGGGCTATAATTAAATTAGCCAAAAAATTTTACTGAATAACTACTATGAGTGATGAGAAACTGAAACAAAAAAATCTAATAAATACACTGCCTTAAAAGAGCTTAATATCTAATTGGGGAAATAAGAATGCCATACAAATATACCAAAAAACAAACAAACAAAAAACCACCAGAGAATAAAAAAGTGTTTGTACTGATTTGTAATATTATGAATGCTTTACATATAGTAAATCTCTTAATCCTCAAAATAACCCTATGGGGTAAATAATACTAGTATCTCTATTTTATTGATGAGGAAACTGAGGCACAAAAGGTTTATTAACTAGCTCAGGGTCACGCAGTGTAAGCGGAAGAGCCAGGGTCTAAAGTTTAGATTCTAAACCCAAGCACACACAGTCCGGTTCTCGATTTCATGCTCTTAACTACGATGCTGTATTATGGTATTTGTCATTTACTATGTGGTTCAACAGTTTGTACAAGTAAGAGCTCAGAAAAACAGATGGACAGTTTGAGTTTGAACAGTAAAGAAAGACTTTTTTTTTTTTTTTTTTGCTGAGAAGATGGGACTCATTTGCTTTAAAGAATAAGTAGGAAGAGCACCAAGGAGGGTATGACAATATCTGAAGGGCTTTGAGAAGTTTAACCAAAGGGTTTGTGATAAGGTGTAAAAGTAAATACTGTTGGAGAGATAAGACTGATCCAGTAAGAGAAGTTTAAAAGTCAAAAATGAAGTCTTAGAGTGACTGAGGTAGTTAGCAGGGAGACAGTTTAGGTTCTTGAGCATGGCTATAAATCCATTTCCATATTTTTCCATTAGTGGTATTCAGGATGGACTGGGAGAAGGAAAGCCTGCAAGTATAGAGACATTCTCTGAAACTGTTGTAAGCTTCATACCGTAGCATGAACAACAGTAGAATGAGTAGACCCTGAACTAGGGAAGTCGTATGAAAAGAAAAAGCAAATGACAGTGAAGAAAGTGACTCAAATATCTAATAAGAATTTATAGGAAACTAATGTCAAAAATGACACAGTTTTCAGCCCAAAGAACAATGAAAATAGTGATCCTTTTGACCTCCCAAAAAAAAGGTTAGAAGAAGGTGGAACTAAATAAAACATGTAAGAGACAAAAATGACAATTAAATATGAGACATATTGGGCTAGTATAGCTATCCCATGGACAGCTGAAAATACTAAAATAAAATGTTGATAAGTGTTGATAGTTGGTGAAATTTTGCACCTTGATATCTAATGCTAATTATTTTTAAGTCAAGATACTAATTTGCCAAGATACAAGGCCAGACAGAAGTCACCTAGCAAGTTCCAATTCTATAATTCTGTGATCTGTCAACTTCAAAAACGTAAGAGAAGGGCCGGCCGAGCGGCGCATTGGTTAAGAACTGGCTTGGGACGCCAGAGGGCCCCGG